CTTAATTAGGACAACCAAATTAGAATCAAATTTATCTCATTGGGAAACAGATATAGGAAGAATCATATCGCCATAAGCAAACCTCTGCAACCCATTTTTGGGAACAGCCATTGCAGCACTTACATCTGTTCCTGATCCTGTTCTGTCCTGTGCTGGGCTTGAGATGTGACATTAGAGAATCTTTTCTCAGCATAGCGACTCAGCTCTGCATTTTCAATTTTCCTTTTGAGCTAAGTGACTTGGAGACATCATCCAGGTCCAGAGTCCATTGAAATCAGAGCACAGGTGTTCGGAGAGTCTGAATAAGGCCTTCAGAGAATAGACGAACAGGAACTTTCATATCTTTAAAGGAGGCAGGAGCCTAACATTAAGTTTCACCGAACACATGACAGGCAAGAGGCTTACAGAGGATGTTAAGAACGGGTCCAGTGAAACAGATGTATAACCTAGTTTGTCCTTCACAAGGCACCAGGCAGGTGCATGACACTGGCAGTGCAGTGAGCCACAGACATGGATTTTTGCTGCAGGTGATTAGGAATCTGAATTGTATCTCTGATTTCTGAAGAATCTTCTGCTCTTTATTTTATCCTTAACCAGTAAGCTGTTTCTGTTCTTTTCTTTTTCAGAGGATGACATATATATATATACATATATAAGTATTATATATATATATATATATATATATTTAATGGCAGCAGTCCTATTGTTGCTGTTTTGTGATTTTTGTAGTCGGTATTCCACATCAGAACATCATGTAGAAGTCACGTAGAGTTCTGGTTCTGTGGACTGCCTTTTTTGGGCTTTTTGAGTTCTTGTAGGGGAGGAGCGGCATTCTCGGAGGATCTGGAGGGCAGAGGAAGAAAGGTGGAACTCCTGGCAGGACACCAGCAGCTGTCCAGCTCACTGACTCACTCTCTCTTTGTTTGCCAGCAGAGGAAAGCACGTGTTTCCCCTGCAGCCTACTAGTGTAAGACCTCGCACTTTGGACACTTTTCTCTCTCATTGTGTCTGATTTTGCTGGACTTAGTAAATTACCATTCCTCCTCAGATAGTTGTCATTGTTTGGGTTTTTTTTTAGACCCATCTGCTATCTCCCAACCCTTCCCCCTCTCCTGGAGCACCCAGCCTGCACCCTGCCTTACCCCATTAGTCACAGGCTGGGGCTGGCTGAGATGGAAAAGTAGGGAAATTTTGCTTTTTTTCCCCCTCTCTCCTTTGTCTCCTTCTGGACTTGTGCCCCTGTCATGGACTCAGATCTAGAGATAACTCCACAACACCTACTAAATTTGCTCACACTTTAAAATATACATGAAGTATACTTGAAAAAAGAAAACCAAATCAACCAACCCACATGTTGTACTCATTCTGTCATGCTGTCTTGGAATGTGTGATTTGTGTATTAGGTGGTTTTACTCTGACTAGAAAAAAATACTAAAAGCACAATCAAATGTTTCTTATTGTTCAGACAGCTTCACCCTGTGTCTACTATTAAAAACATAAAACTAATTATGTTGAGATAATAGATAATTATCTTAGAGGTATGTTGACACTATATATCTTTATCATCTTGTTTAACACAAGACTATGGTTCATTGGCTCAGCCGTACTTTTTAAGATTTTTAGCCTAGTGGAAATCGTGGAGGAAGAGAAAAAGCTTTGAAAGAAGACTAAATACATGGGAAATAACTAAATGGCCTTGATGAATGTGGCTTGTGGAATCAAACTCTATAACCACAAAGTAGTTATAAAGCAGGTGCATTTATTAAGTGCTGTACACGTATGCTGGATTGGGGGGGGGGCAGCCCCTCTAGCCTGCATGATGGACGCAGGTAAGCATCTTTATTTACAGAACAAATACATGCATAAAAGGAGTAGTTATTACAGTTACTTCTAGGAATTCATTATAACATCTCACACCCATTCTACACCCAGAACTCCACTCCTTATTAATGCCTCTAGTCATGCGTGGTGCCTCCTGGTGGTCATCCTGGTGGTCATGGGGATGAAGGTTTTGTATCTTCTTTGCAGTGTAGTTTGAGGAAGTATTCCAGCTTCAGCTGGTTCAGTTTCTAGGATGTGACTCCTTGGACCAATCAGCAGGCTCCTTGGGTTATGGTTGAGGTTCCCCACATCTTTTCCTTCGTTTGTGCTCAACTTCTTTTACAATATAACAGATTAGCCCTTTATTCAAATGGAAAACTTCATCCATCTATTTTGCCACAGTAAAGTCTGCCAGTGCTAAAAGGGTTTATATACTTCCCATAAGTACAGATACAAGATATGAGTTTGGTGCCACAATCATGCAACTACACATGCTTGACTAGCCCTGACATAAAATGAGGTACTTTGTTTTTTTGTATTTAACAGCAACAAGCTATGACAGAAAGATTCACTTGCTTTATATAGGCAAGCTCTTTTTCAACATCTCTCCCATAACGAAAGAGAGAAAACAGTTCCTCCCCTTGCAATCAGGTAGAAGGACAGAGGAACTGAGAGCTGTCATTCCAGCCTGTGTAATAAATATACTCAACACCTGTGGAATCTCTGGGAGATATGTGCTGTGAAAATTATGTCCAACCTGTAGTATTCAATGACACATTTTCCAATTCATGTTGCTGTTGAATCAAGCTCTTATTAATTACTTTTTTTTTCCTTTGGAAATACAGGAAAAGTATGTCTATCTTCTGAAACCGTTGTGCATTCACTTAGGCTCTGAGATTCACAGAGCTTCTTAAGAAAAAGTTGTAAATTCAGCTGTCTTTATGTTATGTTATGAACTGAACACCAGCAGCAGACATTTGCTGAGCTGCAGAGGAAGGTCTGTTGCTCCAAGGTGTCACATCTAGTATACTCATTAACAGTGGTCGTTTTTGTAGGTGTGATATATCATATCATATATACAAAATCATATCACTATGAGGGTGTTCATAAAAAGGAGAGACAAGGCAGAGTTATTCCCAGGTTGACCAGTACTGAGCAGTCTTCTTTCAGGGAAGGACTCAGTACCAGAACGCACTGGTTTGGCACATGTTGCATAGTTTAAATTTTCTTTTCAGCCAGAAACTCAGTGCCCCTTAAAAGCTTCCACTTCCAAAGTCTTTAGTCCTGTTACTACTGAATTTACATGGACTCCAATGATACAGGATTGCATTAGAAGAGTGCAAATGGCTTATGTCATTTGATGGTGCATTTCATCCTTTCTCAATAAAGAAAACAGACCAAAAAAAAAAAAAAAAAAGCAGATAAAACTTTGATATTTTTAGTAGAGTTGTTCCCACATCCTGAATTTTCTTTTATAATTAGCATGTCTTATGGTGGAAACTGAAGGGTATCAACAGTGAGCAACAACAATACATAGCTTACACTTCAGTAGCATTTTCTACCTGGGAATCTCAGAACAGTAAGTATAAGCTGATGGATCCTAATGAATTGTGAAAAAACACACAAAGCTTTTTGCAAAGAAGGGAGTCAAACTGTTATTTGTATGAGCCATCTGTACGACCAGTAAAGAACTGTTTCAGTCACTTAATTTCTCAATTTTTAACTTGCAATAGAAGGAATGATGTCCATTTTGTGGATTTACTCAATTTATTTCTTTTTCTTTTATTTTCTGTTTAAATTTCCCTGGGAAAATTGTTACCTTTTTTACAGCTCTGGAAAAGCCCATTATTACATAATTCCTGTCTTGATGAATTGTCATATTTGATCAATTGATATGTGAATGTGTTCTTTCCATGAAGTCAACGTGTATTTATAAGAGAGATATTTATTTATGATTTATTTATTTTACGAAGTAGAGAAGTATGTGCATGTATAAACTGGGGGACAAAGAAGAGCTTATCTAAAGCAGGAATGCAGCCTGTATTGTCATTCTCTCTTTTAAGTAGAGAACAGAACAGTAAAAAATGCATATTTTTATTATCACAGAGCAAGCAATAAGAAAGAATATTTATTTACTTGCTACAGAAAGTAATATCCATGGCTTTCCAAACAGATTAGTGGTGTCAAATCCATGAGTAAGCTGTTAAAAAGTAATGAATGTCTTTTTTTTATGCATTGTATTACACGTTTTGTCAGAATGGCTAATAAGGGGTGGATGTAGACAAGGCAATTTTGGGGGTCTTCTCAACATCATCAGCTCACTTATCTCTCTTTGATTTCTGTAAAATGACTGGAAGTCACACAGTACAAACTGGCATGGCTATAAGTGAACTTTTTTCCATATATGAGCATTTCAGAAAGGTTGCAGCTGAGAGACTGAGAGAGATTTCATCCTGTGACAGAAAATTCCAGGAAACAAGAGGTGGTCTGTCCCTTCCTGGAGTCTCTGAACACCTGAGACACTGCCTCTTTGTGCATGCATGGTTTGTGATAAAATATGAGACTGTTTTCAATAGATTTTCATGTTTGCAGTGCTAAAGTGGACATTTGGGAATGTCTTGCTAAACTACTCAGAGCTTGAGAAACAAAGGAGCATAAATTGCTTACAAATGCTTTATATTTATTTTATGAATGGCTGTCCAAGAAGTACCACCTGGTTCAGCTCAATATTTAGACACCAGCAAGCCTTTGAAAATGCTACTTTTTCTTCCCAAGCACTTCAATTTATAAAAGGACATGCAAAAAGAGTGAGTGATTATATCGCAGTAATGGCAAAATGAGGTCATTCCATGAGCAAAAGCTGGTATGAGAGACATAAAACAATGGTTAGTTAAGCAGAATCATTTTAGATGCTTTACTCAATTTGGCAATTGTTTGCAATTTCTGTAGAATTAATAACATGGTTTGTGGCATTCAGCAGAATCACTTGATTGTTCACTGTTCAGTACCAAAACATCTCTAGGACCCTTGTGGTAGTAACTCCTAGGCATCTTCTAAATGACTTTCAGTGTCTCCTGTCTCTTTTATGAAGCTGAATGCATGAGATGTCTAAGTCTATGTGAGAAGTACAAGATTGCCACTCTGAGATTGCTAGATCTTTTTGCTAAAAAAAAAAAAAAAAAAAAAAAAAAAAAGGGATAAATATGGGCTTAGACACTGAGAATGTGGTACAGCATTATGTGTGCTAGGTTTCTTCAAGACGAGAAAATGGTGGAGGAGAGTAAGGGCTCAGCAAGTCCTAAATTTGTAGTTGGGACATGAAGAAAAGAGATATAGAGTACTGCATAGCACTGACTGTGTGCCCTGTTCGTAAGAGTTATGTGATATAAGAAAGAGAATATTTGTTTCTTCTGTCCCTTGACTCTTCTCCTTACACTGAAAGCACAGACAATTCATGTTTCTACAAGAAACTTGAAAATATAAGAACTGTTTTGGATGTTTCATCTATTTTCTGTTCAGTAGGACTTTTAATTTTTAATTTCATTCAGGGAGAAATCCAACTAACTCACAAAGATGTAAGTGGCATGCAATGACAATTTGCCGAAGTGTGTAAGATAAAAAACTTGCGTTTCTCCTGTTAACCACAAAAAGAACACAGATGATAGAAGTAGACAAGACCTCATGCTTAGGTAGGTACAGTTAAATGACATGAATTCCATATGAATGACATAATCAAGCAGCAAAAGAAACCCTATTATAAAGCTGTTTGTGGAAGCAGTAGAACTTATAATTAATCTGCCAAATAACACACTCCTAATATCACTGCTGCACTGGATTAGAGAGTACAGTACTGCCCTATTCAGTATATGTACTTACTGAACGTTTAAAGTGTAGATCAACACACAATATTAAAAATAATAATAATAAAAAACAATTAACTACTGATTCCAAGGAGCAGCTTTACTTAAAAATTAATGGTTCTGTGTGACCCTCTTTATGTGGTTGTGTGTGATCCACACAAAGGCAGTGACAAGCCAGCGTTCTTTGTGTCATCTGTCCTATCAGAAGGCACTTGGGGCCAAGCCCATTCATAAAGAAGACAGGTGACACGCAGAATCAAGCTCTATAACCCACATAAGGTTATGAAGCAGGTATGTTTTTACAGCGCCAGGTACGAGCGGGATATCTCCTAAACTGCACATTGAAACACCTGTTGGTTGGTTGTTTATAGTACAAAATCATACATATACATAGGAATACACAAAAGGTGAGTTGAGCTAGCTTAAACAATTCTGAGAACTCATCATAATATTACAGTGTATAATACGTCTTGCCTCTTTGCGCCTGTGTGCTGCTCGCTGGTGATCAGGGGCAGGGGTCTTCTCTGAGTCTTCCTCACAAAGGCTTCCTGGTGTACTTTTCACCTTAGAAATCACTAACTACACATCCAGCTCTATCCATCCAGATTCCTGTTCTTTGTTTCAAAACATTCATGTGTCTGGGCTTCTGCCATTGTTAAGAGGGTCTGTCTTGCATGACAGGAATGTGTGTCCTAGCAATATTACTGTACAAAAATCAGGGGAATCATCTATTCTTTGAATTTTGAGGTCCTCAGGGAGTCCCATCACACCAAGTTTCTGGTTTCATGCATCTGTGACCAAAATAAATTCAGTTGATAAATGAAAAATCTATCTATGTGATGTTCTCCATCTTTTCTACCTTTTTTAGTTTCTCCATTTTAAAATAAGTTTATTTACAAACACAATGATGTTCATAGAAGAGGAAACAAAATCTAGTGGAATACTACCTATTTTCCTACTTACAATTGGAGGGGGAAAAAATAATGTGAAGAAGTGGTCCTTAATGTTTACAATCTTATGGGAAACAATACTGAGCTAAGAAGATGGCACTGACAAACAGATTTTATTCCCCAGGGGCTCGAATTGCATTCAGAATAATATGTTCATCCAGCATAGATTTACCCCATTGCTTCTACCAGTATCTTCAAATGTAGCAGCAAAAGGGGAATCTCATTTGTTCAGACAGTTAGGTCCCTTAAAAAGAAAGTGGTGCCAGATTTTGCTTCCCTTGTTTGTACATGAACAGCATGGCAGATTTTTAGTGGGTAAATTTGAGAGAACTCCAAATCAGCATGAGCAGTGATAAAAAAAAATACACTTTGGAAAATGCAGAAAGCCTCTGATTTGTGGTTTTTTTGTTTTTTTTTTTGCCAGTGGCAGCTGTACCCATTGTCACAAGCAGAGCTGCAACATATACCATTCAAGGGACTGTAATCTGGGATTCCAGTTTCTATCTTTCCTATTAGACTGGCTTGCAACAGCAATATTCTTCCTTCTCTATAACCACTTTAACATTTATCTTCCTCTGTGCCCTTGTTGAAGTGTCTTAGATGTAGTTTTTCTTTGCATGTGACAATTTAGTGCAACAAGGGTAGGAGCAAGCTCCTTGTGTTCCCCTGAAGGAGACACCTGGAGAGCTGTGTGCCTTGTTCTTCAGTGAGCTGAAACAGAGCACTCCAGAATGAATTCCTTAGCCATGGGATCTCTACCTGTCTATTAAATTTCTTATCGAATTTGCCAAGTTTAAGAGAACAGAGGCAGCTTTGAATGGCACATATCAACCTATAGTAATTGGTTGGAAGCATATGCACTGCCTGCTGTTCTTGAGGAAGTGAAAAGGCCAGGTCTGTACTATTTGCTTTGATTATACCAAACCCCACTACGGGAGGTGGGATGGCACATTTGGCAGCAGGAGCTTTCCTCTACATGGGAGTGAGGGCTCACATTCCTGATGGCCACGACCTTTGCTTAGGGCTATGCTTCCTCTGTTGCTTTTCTACTTCTGTCCCCTACATCTCTTTTCAGAAGCAGCCTGGCTCTTACCCAGCCAGACTGCTAAGCCTGCTGGCAACAAAATTCAATTCGTCAATTCAACTAACTCGATTAATTAACAAAATCAAGCAGATCAGAGAACCATCTTTGCAATCAGCATTGCAATCCACACTGCTAAACTGAGTTCCTTCAGCTAAGGGTAAAGCCCACATTATTTTCACATTCATATTAATTTGGAAGCAACTGTTACGTTTATCATTAAATTGGAATCTCATACAATGGCAAATGTTCTGGATATGTTAGCCAGAAGTCTTAAGAAACTAGCTAGTCCTGAAAAGTTTTGCTGATTTTGCTCAGAGTTTTCACAGCTTTCAGTGAGGCATTTTTTGAAAGCTAAACATAGAGGATTAACACCACTCTCCTTATGGTACTCACTTTACCAAAAGAATGTTGGTCAAAGGGAAAAATGTGGACAATTTCAGACTTTTTGTGTCAGTCCTGCTTATAGAATAAATATCCATTGACAGGGTAAAAGCATGAAGAAGAAAATAAGCTTCCTACCTATTGTGCAATAAATCAAAAAGTTCCAGTGAATTTCTTTGAGTATTAGCAAAACTGCTTAATCTAGAATTTCAAAGAGTGATCAAAACCATTTTCAATTATTCCTGACTTGCACTTGTATAATTCCAGACTGACCTGAGTCTTTTCCCCCAGTACATTCCTTTATTAAAAGGAAATAAAAAGAAAAGAAAAAAGTGAATTTCAATGATCAGACTCCTAGCATGTGGGAAATATGACCTTTAGATCTTCCTCAGCAGAGTCTGATTAAGTTGAAATAATTACAAGTTTTTCACTAAACCAAAAAGCAAAGGATAAATAAAACAATGGCAGAACATTTGCAGAAAATTGATTTTTTTTAACTGTAGTAAAACAGGAAGAAGCTTATCTATTGTGAAAAGACCAAGACTGATTCTAAAATAGCATAAATATTTATATGATAATAAGATTACATATTTTAGGTGAAGACAATGTATTGTTCATAAAGAAGAAGAAACAGCTTGGCTAGACATGGGAAAAAAAGACTTTCTGACTGTGACTTTGTCCCTGTCCCAAAACTGTATAACTAGGTTTTTTTTTTTAATGTATATTTACTGTTACAAGTGCAGTTGCCATTGATTAGAAACTTATATCTAAACTCTGAGGGTAACAGAATGGATTTGTTAGAGTTGTTAAGCACTTCTGATCTTTCAGAATAAGAAATACCAAATGGAAAATACATATATATGCCTTTCTATCTCATTATTTTGTATTACTTAATATTTTTGTAGATAACTAAATACCTAAATATAAAAACTGGCTTTATTGCACAAATTATTCATTTAAATACCCAAAAGAACTACGTGTGAACTCTGAAAGATCTCTCATTTTTTTTAGATCTGACTAAAAATTCCAAAATGGCAGCAAGGTGCATTCCTTACAAAACAGTGAAATTAAAGTGAAGAACCTACTGCCTGTAGTGCTGGTCCACAAGCAATATAAATGCTGATTGCTTAGTTTTAGAGATCCACAACTGTGGCTGCATCTTCAGTTTCTTCACATAGATTTAACATGACACTCTTCCTAGCAGCTAGGGAGCTAACTTAAACATCACCTATTATTCCTAGGACAGCAAAGTTAATGTCTAAAATATCTAAGATGGACATAACAAAAAGAATCATTGAATATTTGCTTTCATAATCCAGATTTTTCCCAGAACTTCCAGAGAATAAGCCTCTGAAGGACTATTCCAGCTACTGCTTCTGATATACTTCTGCAGGCCCACAATGGTTTGTAGGACACCTGAATGGGCAGAAACAGTTCATGGTGTACAGTGTGCTGTATGTTTTATACAAATGGTCTATAAACAATGGCAAATTATCTGAAAGTATAAAGGTGAGTGTGGGATTACCATGCAAAAAAGTTCATGTAAAAATGAACTTTTTTCAAATGCAAAAAAGTTCACCATGTAATTTATGGTCTAGAAGCCAGGAACAATGTTTGATTTCAATAATAAGCAACAAAAGTGAGAGTATCAGTCTTAATGGGCTAAAACTTGGATGGACACAAAATCTAATCATATATCTGAGTAACACAACTAATAAGTGGATGAATTCAATAGAGTAATCAAAACACAACTGAAAGATGGAGATGAAATTATAGCTTAGTTGCATTAAATGAGTATAATGTCACAGATTCTAGGAGCATTTAGTCCTAGATTCATAGATCAGATCTCTGCTGTGTAGAAGCATCCTCAGACTGCTAGGGATGACACATCCACACGTCATAGATGACCGACTGTTGAAAATTGTGGTCTTTCTTACTGGAGAACACAACACAAATAGTTGGATTTCATAGTCTTGTAGTTGGGCTCTAATATGGAAAACATTTTTATATCCTATATTTAGTGGGCAAGAGAATAATTACATATAATTATGGAGTAGAAAAAAGGAGACAGTATATAACACAGGAAAGAGACAGAAATGAATGAATGAATGAATATTCTTTCCCCTGACTGTCAGGTTCTTATTTCAGCAGCTGTCTGCCACTTAGAGCCTCTTTTGGCTCTCTTGCTAGCATAAAAATTGTCTGCAACAGTCAAATTGACTTCATGTGAAAAAAAAAAGTGAAAAATAACTGGTATGTTAAGAAATATTGCTGAAAGGATTCCATTGAGTAGAAGCACAAATAATATGATTGAATACATAGAAATTTAGGAGATAGGATTCCATGCATATTTGGAAGTATAAGAACAAACTATATTTTTCCTCATTTCATTTGCGTCTCTTCATATGAAGTGAATAATTTTTTCTGTACTAAATAATTTTTGCTGTTTCTTTTTTGTAAAACAGAAAACTAAGCAAAATCTGAAATTTTGTGTCTACATCACATTCATAGAGTAACAGATGGCAAGGAAAGAAGAAATACTACCACTGTATATGGATAAAGCTACAAGCTATAATCACTTGTTTTGAAAAACAATTACACTTAGCATTTTCATCAGTAAATCTCACTAGACTAAGACAAGAAACATCATCCCACTCTTTAAAGCATGGATACGCAGGTAGGCGTTTTTCGAGATCATTGGCAGAACTGAAAAGAGAACATTAATTTCTAAATTCCCAGCCAATGATCTCTTAAGCAGGCTCACTGCCTCAGTATGTAGTGAAAATAGATTAATGCAGTAATATGAACAAAATAGTTCAATTTTAGGTACCCACTATGAATCATCCATTAGCACTCTTCAGCTAGGTATCATTCCCACACATTATTTGGAGGACAACAGGAAGCCAAGGAAAACATAAACCACCAGCAAACAAATTTTAAAGTACTGATTAATGAAAAAAGAGGCCACATTAATAATTAAGAATTATGCACTCAGTTCTGGTAAGTAGTTTATAAAATAGAAGGGATGGTAAATAAGGTCTCAGAAATCAAAAACCGGAAACTACACTTCCAACTAAGGAGTGACACATTTCCACTCTTATTATTGTCTTTTCACATAAGCCATGCATATGACTGAGTTGCATCAATTTTGTATAACTTTAGGCTTTGGTTTCTCAGCTATACAAGAGAACTGTCCAGCATATTTGATAATGGCTATTTCTCTCCAGAAGTTCCACAGCCAATAGGCACTTGCATCAAACTGTTCAAAGGATCAGTGCTGAAGTTCTCGTCTTTCTGGGAGTCTCATTTAAATATCATGATAGTTAAGACCATTACTGTCTATCTCCTCCTAATAACTCATTCTGGCATAGAAATACACATAGAATTCACACAGATGTATTGTTAGATTTCCTTTTGACTCATTTGTATTTGTAATAAGCCTCCCTAAAACCTTTGGAAAAAGCACAGAAAATCTGAAGTGCTTTTTCTGGCCTATTATCCCCACTCTTCTGTATTTTAAATATGTTAGCTCAATGTTTTTAAGTTTTCCATAGAAATTTATTGATGTTTCTGTGTTTCAAGCTGGAATACATGTGAAGAGATGAGTACTCAGCAGAGCACAACAGATGTGAGGAGAGCAGTAAGGTTTAGCCAAGGCTTTGCTCACTAGAGTGGATTGCTGAGTTTCTGAAACTACCGAGCAGTTCAAGTCCCAACTGCCCCAGTACGGAGGAACTTGGCTACTTGTGAAAGAAGATAACGAAAACGAAGACTTAACTAAATACATACCATTTTCCTGCTCAGCAAGAATACAATAAGGAATACTCTAGTTGTAAAATTTAGCAGACATATGACAAACTTGATCTTCCAAACAAAACCTTTCCCTCCCAGGAGAATGGGAGATGATTGCGTTTAGGATGTTGGCCACATAAATGGGTTTTTCACCAACATCTCACCATACTCAAACTACTGAAAATCTGATACTAGTGACTCAGGCACAAACTGGGAGTATGCTGACTTCAGATTTATGTGAATGATGCAGGCTGAAAGACCCCGAGATGGCATTTTATGTAATAAGACAAAAGAGGCTCTCTCTCTCTTCTCCCACTGGCGCTGAAGAGACCGCCTGTGTTAGGTGAGATTCTTGTCACTAATACCAGTCCTGGAGGAATTCGCTTGAGGCCATTCAGGTGCAAAGCGAAGAAAGGTAATCTGCATTTACACCTGAATTGCCCAGTCGCCCAGTTTAAAACCTTTAAAAACCTGTGACAATCTTGCTTTGTTATTATATTGCTCTTCTGTGATTAGAAGAGAATTTACATAGTCACTGCATTTTCACAGTTCTCAATTTTTTTTCTATTGATTTTAGCTGTCCAGATAAGAGGCTGGCATAGACTGAAGTCAGTCAAAAAATACGTGGAGAAATGAAAAAAATATATAACACTGGAAAAATCTGCCTCAACTCCAACACCTCTCCCTCTCAAAACAAAAATCAAGATGTCTTAAAATAGGTTCTGACATATTACCAGTGATTTCAGGCGGATTATGTTCTAATCTTTTGTACTAAAATAGCTCTTCTCTCAAGAGGAGATAATTGCAACAGGTCTATATACATTAGCAGTGCCTTTTCCAATGCAGACAGCATTCTTAAAATGGCTGTACTGCCTACTGCCTCCTACACAGAAGATAATTGGTGCCTAGCACTTCTGGCTCTCAGGAGCAATGCAAAAAGAAGATACAAGAAATCTGTGTTGCTAAGACAGAAATCTATACTTGTTCTGCCACCATACAGAAACCTGATGTCGTACTGCACACACACATTGTTGGTGCAATTGCCTTCATGCTGCAAACACCAACATAAATTTTCTGAACTGGTAAATGATAATGCCAGTTTCCTTTTTAAAATTGGCAATATCATTATGTGTTGTTCTTTTGTAATCAACCACATATATTGATTTGAACAGTTTGCTGAAATGTTAGATTTTGCAAAGATCCCTTCAAGTTATAAGACTGTTGCATTAATTAAACAAATTGTTCATCCACTGTATTTTAAAAACATAGATAAAAAAGATTTGGAAAGACTGCAAGTATCTGTACTTTTCTGAGCTTCCCACTGATTACTCTGAGAAAGCATAGCACATTAACAATGATAATTAGATGCATGGACAAATAAGCTAACAATCAGAGATGAGAACCGCATTCGAAATGCTTTAGTTACCTGAACATCATTGAAGATAATGGAGATGCATCTGCCCTCTAATTTCACTCCTTTAAATCTTAAATACTATGTAACAAAAGCTGCTGCTGTACTCAAATAGGGGTCCTCCATGTTTACGATCTCAGGAAGAAAACTAATTCTATCATCTTGTTTTTCAGACTTCTCTCATACTCTTGAATCCATTTGATCTTTAGAATGGTTGGTTCTTCAATTGTAGCTTCAACATGTCTTTCATTCCAAATGATCTATTCATCTGTATTCATAAATATGTTAATCTGCAACCTCAGAAAATCCAACCAACACTCCAACAACAAAAACAACCATCTCATTAACCATCTCCCTCATTAGCTGGGATTAAGAACTTTGGTCAAAATGACTGGCCTTGTGCCCAGAAAAGCTATGAGATCAATAACCACAAAGGACTTAATGATCCTCTGATGAAAGAATAACTTTGTACTTCTCCTACAGACTACTTTGAAAAACTGAGGGGAAAAATTCAAGAAATGTCATATCATCTGCATAAGTTAATTTATCTGTTGGTCTGGGAGATGTACAGGTTTTCTGGGGGGGAGCTTTGGGAAATAGTTTTTTTCTTTTGTCTCTATTAAGTGGCATTTACTGTCTACAAGAACGCTAATATGAAAAATCATAAACTGTACCAGTGATTAGCCTGCAAGAGCCTAAATAGTTTCATTAACATTTCCAGTATCTCATTTCACTCATGAGCAGTTCAAAATTATGGCATTTGTATTCGTATACAAGAAGACTTACATTTGGGCAATTTAACTTGCTGGTATACTTACACTGACACCACTAATTACAGCTGCTAACTTTTTTAAAGTTTGATTTTCATTTCACAAACTCGAAAGTAGATAGAAAATGGGAAGAAAAAGAAAACTAAATAAACCACACAATGTAATTGCCTATCAGCACAAATGTGCTATTAAAAGCCAGTTCCTTTGACTGAAACAAGGCACTGACCAAACTGCACTGGGAACATTTCTATCATAGACAGTATGAAAATGTCTTGCTCATTAGAATAATACGTGGAAATGCTAGAAAATGATCAAGCTCACTGGCTAAAAGCTAAATCTGTGAAGGAATTATAGCCATCTAATAAATACTCAATTTATAATCCCCAGACAGCTAAAGTTGAAAAGCAGGTGTATTTGAAGCTCAGTTTGTGCTATATATTTTGGGAGGGAATAAGTCGCATTTGAATGGCCTGGGTTTTTTTTATTGACTCTAGAGACCCTAAAACAACTACTTTAATTCTGAATTTTAATAGCTATGGGAAGAGGTAAGGGCTCCCAATGGAGTAGGGTCTTTAATTCCCTTCAACACTGAAACAGTTCTTCTAGAGCTAACTGAGGAAGAAAAGAAAAGCACCCAGATGGACAGTGAGAGGGAAGGTTGGTGTACTACACTTTGAGGACTTGTGAAGTACAGAAATCAGAAGTGAGGGAGGAAATGAGCAAATGCTGGATGTGAAAGGATTAAATCTGTTGGGAAAGGGAGACTGAAAGAAAGAGGTCTCCCAAGCGGCATTTGGTTTTGCAGTAGACCTGCAGGTTAGAAAAAAGTAGCACTTGCTTTGTCAGCAGAAAAAGGCAATTAATGTGCCATCCTCTAGGTGTGCTCTACTACTGGCAAAACCACGTAATTGTCTTAGGAGACAGATGTCTGCCTAGGAAACATGGGGCAGTTTGAGTACTGGTAGTGTAAGGTTAGCATCTGTTTCCACTTTACAACTGAAGTCACTTATTGAAATCCGGTTTCTAAGACTGTACTTTGTCAAGCTTTACTTCATACTTATATAGAATGATGTCCTTCTCAAAAGTGTATTCATGCATTGGATGTATACTATCCCTTATTTGCTCTCAAGATAACTATGCAGTTTTCATACTGCTTCATTTGGCACTGTCATAGTTTCTGTAAAGACTGTTTTATGTACTCTCACAAATGAAAAGGAAGGACGAAAAAATTTGCATCCTATTTTCCTTGGGTAAAAAAAAAATGAACCAACCAACCAACCAAACAAACAAACAAAAAACAACCACAGGTTACATAATTTTTCACAGCTTAAACTTTCAAGCTATGAAGGAAATTTGTTTCACTCATTATTGCGCCATTACTCAGGCAAACCGCATTCCCATAACAAGCAGCAGATTACAGGACTGCACAGCAAAAGAAATGTAGAGCCCTTCTGGGCAGAAGCTGCCAACACACTTTCCCTGTTAAACCAATCTCTTTAAGCATAACTGAAAAGAAATCTGTCACCTATACACCTTCTGAAAACAATTATTTCATAGACATCAGCTGGAGAATATAAAACCAAACACAGAGGATCTAAAGCTATAATGATTTTTAAGTTGGTAATGATGATGCAAAACAAAATCAAGTCACTAAGGAAATCCCAACAGAAAAGGCAGTGTAAAGCAACTGCAACCTGTGTAAAATATTGCTGTGTTCCCAAATAAGCATGAAAAATAGTCAGGTTCAAACGAGTAAACAAAATAAACGAAGTTACTAAGCAAATCAAATATCTCTGTCTGTTGTTCAAAAGTAATATAAAACTGAAAGCTTATTTTTGTAGGAAAAAAAAAAAAAATCTGAGCAAAAAGCCAAACCCTGTAATTGGTTCTGGTATGCTAAAGAGCAGCAGACAATAATATGCTAGCTGCTATAGTGCCAGATATAGCACTACTTGTTTTTCAGGCAATACTAGAATCATATATGGAAAGAGTTAATAGCGTAAAATGCTTTAAAATCATCCTTCTACTTTTCTAAGCAGTAAATGCTTTTAAGCACACAGGGAAAGGAGCCATAACAGAATGGCCACATTTCAGACAAATGCCTCACTCAAAGATGGATGATATTTTAGTCAAAATGTTCTCAATTCATCTAATGTGATACCATTTCAACTTCTTGAAGTGAGACGATTTTGAAGACTGTTTCTTCCGTACTTCATTGTGGCACTTCAGTTTTAAACCTGACCTAATGGACAGCCATAGATGCTATGGGCTTGGAGCATAAAGAACTGACATGTTAGCATGGTAATGTACTCAGATGTCACATCAATCATTAGAAGACAGTTTGCTGAATGACTCAGATATCTGGCAATGCACACTGAAAGCCTCTCTAGTTCTTTATATACATAAAGTGACTTCCTTTTGGCAGTCTTCATTAGAACAACATTGATTGTAGTCATTTATAGCTCAAATGCTATCGCTGAAAATTTCTCAGGCTGTACATACTGTATTTCTAACTATAGTAAAGCTCTAAAAATCAGTCAGCAGAGGCCACTTCAATCTCTGCAGGATAATAAAGGATTATTATGTGCAGTAACCTATTTATGAGAAGGAAACAGTGTGCTTCTTTCAGACTCCATCAATTGCTTTAATAAGGAATTGAAAAGCATGGCCTACTTTATATGCAGATCACCATCCCAGTTGCATAAGGATTTACAATAGACAAAACTGGTTTTGTTGCAAATAAGGGCTGTTTGTTTAAATCACACAATACTGTTTGCATCTAAAAATTATTTAGAAGCTAATAAGGTGCAATAAATTTTGACTTGTTAATAAAAATGAGTTCAATATCCTCCAGGAAGGTAATGTAAATTGAAGGTGATAAGGCAAAGGTTGAAGTAAAACAGGCCTGAGTTAATGGGAAAGGAGAAGACATACTGCATTTGTGCACCGATGGCTCTAAGAAAATGAATGCCAAGTGAATGCAGTTAACTTAAAGCATTTTATAAAATTTAAGATAATGGATTTAAATGTTTCCTAGGAGATTAGAATTACTGCAGTATTACTTCTGCTTTAGAGACAGAAAATTTGACACAATTCAGACAACCGAAAGTTAGTATGATGCACATTGCTGAGCTCTGCTACCTTAATTTGGAGGGATGGAGAGACTTAGGTTCATATTTTAGTTTTGGTGTTGATTCATTTGCCTGTATGTTAACAAAATTAATGAGGCATGGGATGACCCCTGCTGGTGTCCCTGCCAAAAAAAAAAAAAAAAAAAAAAAAGAAAGAAAAAAAAAGAGAGCTGTATCTTGAAGCAGGACATTTTAGTTTCAGTCAAATTACAAATATCAACTGTCATATAATATATAAAAATACCCAATTCAATGCATAAATTTTGTGAGTAATGCCTTCTTAAATAAGAAAATAATCTTAAACCTCTGAACATTACTGTGTTAGAACTGCAGTGCAATAAATTAAGGACACTAATTGCTTGGTTAAACGTCTTTTATCAGTGAGCTGTTACATTTAGCTGTCCATTGTTAAATCCTCAGCTGATTTCAGTGAGTTGCATTAAATAAACCCAGAGGGGAAAAATAAATATATATATTCTCAATAAATTACAGTTTAGTCTCTATGGCCCTAGAACTAGATTCATTTAAAGAAGTGTAGCTTTTCTATAAATCAAAGCTTCTGATTTAAAGCAGCTGACATATAAGTCCATTTTACAAGGTATTTATTTTTTAATTCAAAAATACAACACATTAAAATAGGTTCAATTTATCAAAGCTAAGAGCAAAAATTAAGTAATAATGTACTTAAAGTGCAAAGGCACTTTAACACAAGACAGTGACTCCCAGTGGCTAAACATGGTAATTGTACTGTATATTATTATTTACAAAAGAAAGTCAAGAGTCCAGGAAAAAGATCTTTGGAGATCTTCTACGTGCCACATTAAGCTTCCACCTCAAAATGAAAAATAAAACAAAACAAAACAACAACAACAAAACAAAACAGAAAAAAAAAAAAAAAACGAAAGACTCTCTTCCTCATTTCCTTCCAAATCAACAAGAATTATGAAAGATCTATTACAGAAACATATATTTGCAATGACAGTTACTACAGAAAGGTCAAAAGGAGAGAGAGATAGAAATAACTTAAAGGAAATATTGCAAAAGCAACATAATGTCCATGTTATGCAGTAAGGGTTTGATTTCTCTCTCTCACTTCCTAATTTACAAAGTGAAAATGTTTGGAATGCGAAAGATGACATCAGCACTGAGTTCAGAATCAATCAAATGTGATGTTGAGCTCATTTAACAATCTTTCTTTTTCTCCCAATGCCCCCCTCACAGCTGACTGATCGCAGTTTGTTTTTCCAGAACTTCGAGGTAGTCTGGTTCTGTTTGTAGCTTTCCTTGGAGTAAAGGATGCTCTGGTTTAGATTGTTCTGCAAAATATTTCCTGGGAGTTCCATACAAAACAGTTTTATTTATCCTGTCCTGGTTTTGGCGTCTTGATTCATATGAAGGGGCAAACTGCCTTTTGGGTAAGGTGCAAAAATTATAGTGAATTAATCCTCCAGTGGGGAGTTCCTTGACCCTTTCTGCAATATTTTGATATAGCAGCTCTGGTTCCCGTTGTGAGGACTGCTTTTCCAGTAATTCAGCTGCAGTGATTGTAAATGCAAGGCTGGTGGGATCTTCCTTCTTGTGGTCAAGACTGCTATAGCTAAACTCATGGAGATTTCTGTAATAGGCAACTGGATCCCCTTCCTTTTGCATGTAGATTGGGTTTTGGCACATCTGTCCAACAGGAGGGGTAATGTAGTTATAAACATGTCCTTCGGTTTTATCGTGGGTCTCAGTGTTGTAAGACCCGTACTGCAGCTGAAATGAACTGATATCTAAATTGTTTGCACTGCTGGGCATGCTTTGCACCCCTTTCCGGCGCTTGAGAACAAAGACAAACAGACCAGCCCCAAAACAGACTGACAAAATAAACACAACCAACAAGCCTAAAATTAAGACAGAGAGTGGAACTTCCGTGTGTATTTCCGGATAGGAGCTGGGAGAGATACCAAGGAGATGGGGCATATCTGTGTTCTGATTCATGGGCAGGAGAGATGACTCTGACAAGTTGGGGTTCTCTGGGCAGATGGCTTCTTTGCTCAGGAATTTTAAATGCTCTCCGGAGTGTTTGGTCGGAGATTCGCATATGACTTCATTGATAACAACAGGGGGATTTGACTGCTGACTGTTTTGATCAGTGACTTGCTCAATCCAGTTCCTCAGCCCCATAATGTCACATGTGCAGTCCCAGGGGTTCTCCTGGAGGTCGATCTGAATTAGAGCTGACAGCCGGTCTAAGACTCCTCTCACAGGCAAGTGTGAGAAATGGTTGTTTCTTAGGTTGAGTCTGGTGAGGGAAGTGCCACCGAAGACATTGTCAGGCAGGGATCTGAGCAGGTTGTTGTTGAGAAATAACAGATGAAGATTACTAAGAGCATCAAAGGTATGTGGCAGGATCTCCTTAATGACATTGTACTCTAGGTAGAGATATTGCAGGCTATGCAGCCCATCAAACATAGAAGGGTACAGAATCTCAAGGTAGTTGCCATTAAGGTAAAGTCTGCGTAAACTTGTGAGGTTTGTAAAGGCACCTTCTTGTATCGCTGCAATTCTGTTGTTTCCTAGATGTAACAAATCCAGAGAGCTGTATTCTGCTAGATCGGCTCTATAAATGACTTGCAGATAGTTACTGGTAAGGTAAAGTTTCTTTGGAGTGTTTGGCTTAGGGTGGAGTTCAGAGATATTATTAATCTTTTTCTCTTGACAGTTCACATTTAATCCATTGTCTGAGCTCTGCGAAGTACAGATGCAGCCATCTGGGCAGGTGATGGGCACAGGAGACTTTGTCTGGTAAACCATGATAGGTCCAAATATTTGTCTATCTTTTGACACAGTGACACGGGGTGTGGGGCGATTCCTGGCTTTGGGGGGGCGGCTGGCTTTTGGGGCTCTGGTGGGACTGATGGCAGAGTTGGCTGTGGGCAATAACTTTGAGACATGTGGGTCTGAGATGACAGGGTGCTTTTCCCTCTGGTTTGAATCACTGGAGCTTTTCCTAGGGCAGAGATCTTGCCTCGTGAGCTGAGTCACATCTTTCCCATGTAGCCTGAAAGGGGTTTCACAGACTATCTCACCCACAAACACGGTGATTGTGTCCAGCCAGGCCTTAAGTGGCAGCAAATCGCAAGTGCAGTTCCAGGGGTTCTCTTCCAGTTGGATTTCCATGATGCCTCCAATGTGCTCCAGCACACCAGCAAAAGGCATCATCTTCAGCCGGTTCCCCCGCAGGTCCAGGTGGGTAAGGAGCACAAAGCGGAAGACATTGCTGGGCAGGGACAGCAGGAGGTTGTCATTGAGAATCAACACTTTGAGCTTGTTCAGCTTGTTGAAGGCCCCTGCCTCAATGGCACTGATGTAGTTGTAATCAGCTTGCAGGTACTCCAGGCTCTCCAACCCCAGGAATGTATCCTCCTTCAGCACTTCCAGCTTGTTGTTATTGAGGTGCAACCTTTTGAGGGTGCGGAGGCCACTGAAGGCCCCGGTGTGGATCTCCTGCATGTCGTTATTGCCTAAGTGGAGGGTTACAGCGTTGGAGTAGTTGACAAACTCATTGGGGAACAGGCGGGTCAGCGCGTTCCCATTGAGGAAAAGCTGGTAGATCTTGGATGGTGGTGGCAGGAGGAGGCTGATGGTTGTAAATCCTTTGTTTTCACAATTAATGTTTAGTACGTTCTCCTTCTCCTCGCAAGGGCAGCGGCTCTTGCTGCAAATGTCTTTGGCAGGTTTGCGACTTTCTATCTGCGAGATCCCAGCCACTGTTAACAAACTGAGCAACCAAACACCCTTCAGCATCTTTATGCGCCGTTGATCCCTGCTTTAGTACCTACAGTCAAACCTTTTGAGGAAGGTAAAGAGAAAGAAGAAACGCCCAATGAAAACGGCCAGGAGCAAAGCTGCAAGGGGAGGGCAAAGCAGGTTTTAAGGGGGCAGCAAGGCAACGATTAGCAAAACTCCTCCCTCAGCCCACTTTTTGCTCGCGGAGACGTTCTAGGAAAGCCGGGATCCCAGCGCTGCCCGCAATTCCATTCCCTAGTCGTTATTTTAAACGGGGAAGGAGAGTGGGGGGGTGGGCGCATAGGTGGGAGGAGGAGAATAAGCCATCGACAGCACTCCCTGCCCCCATCCCGGCAGCTACAGGGTTTCCCAGGACCGATCCTTTCCGAGCCTCCCTACGCTCCGGAGTGGCTCCGTTCCCCAGCTCCTACCTGCTTTCGGCGTGCCCGAGCAGGCAGCAGGGGCAGGGGCCGCCGCTGAGCGCCGCCGCCGCGCCCCGGGAGCCAGGCACCCGGCGGGAAGAGGCATCGCCCGCCGCCCACCTCAGGAAGAGCCCGGCGGGGCAAGGCAGTGCCCGCGCAGTGCTGTCCCGGCCTCTGCGGGACGGGAAGTTCTGCTGGGCTGCGGGCGAGGAGCGGCGGCTGCGCCGCTGCGAGAGCGCGGACAGCTCTACGCAGAGCGCGACGCGGCGCGGATCGTTTGCTGGCTGCCCCGCACGGAGCGGCGCTGACGTCACGTCGGGGGCGTGGGGGACACGTTTCTCCCAGCCCCCCCTTCCCGACCTCCCCCCCCCCTCCCCCCCCCCCCCCCCCCCCCCCCCCCCGCATTCCCCCGGCCGCTCTCGCAGGCAGCTCCGCTTCCGGCTCGGTAGCTCGCCGCGGGAGCTCTCCGGCAATCTGAAGTGCTCGGAGCACGGCGGTGAGCGGAGGTACCTGCGGCCGGAGTTTTGGCCCCGCGTCTCTAAAGCTGTGCTTTTAGAATAGCATGTCAGCCAGCTTCCTCGGCACCTGCCAGCTGGCGAGCCGCACACACGCGCACACAGTCCGGCTCTCGGAGCAGGGGTGCTGCAAAACCTGGATCTGGCAGCAGTTCTCCCCTCGCCGCGCAGCTCCCTTCCCCGAGCGCTCCTCGCCGCGGGGACACTCGCTGTCAGCCATGGGGATTCAGCACCTTCCGCCGACTCGGCTGGCTCCGCTCTCTGGAAAGCTCGCCCGAGTGCTGAACAACGAGACCACATCCAGCGTGACTATTCCCACTGCCTGGAGCTGTCTCGCTGCCAAATCGCGGTGTAATGGGATAGTATTTGGCTGTATTTTACAAGAACAAGATACTGGATGTGGGTTATTGTGACTTTGCTTATGCACCGTGCTCAAGGCACAAATGCATGTTTGATAGAAGAGATTGCTCTCCCTCAAGAACATAAAATTTTGGGTTCATACTGGGAGAAAAAAAAAGAAAGAAAATGCACGATAAATTTTTAAAGTGCTAATACAGCAGTTTGCATTATTAAAGGATTTTTTTATAGGGAGTTAGAAGAATTTAGTCTCTAGATTATACAGGTTTGCTGCCAAAGACTGCTGGACTTGGCAAGATTGGTGCTGTCATTTTGTATTAGTTTTTAACCATTAAGTATCAGAGCCCACACTTTAGAGGTATCAAAAATGCATTGCCTGTTCTTACCTGAAATTAGGAACAGCAGCAGCACCCTGCAAAAGCCATCTCATATGCCTTTGCAGAGCTGCTGAGCAGGGAAGTACTGAAGTTGGGATTTAAGATCGGAGCTGCTAAAGCCTCCCTACTTAAAATGTGGAGAAGTTGTAGAAAAAAAAAAGGAGTATCCTGCTCTGGAGTGTGCTGTTGAGGTGGTGCTGCACCAAGCTTGACAAGACTGGGATTTTGAGATGCTGCTCCTTTCAAACCATGTTTGTCCAGCTGAGTTCAGGAGCAAAACTGGCTAAGATCAGGGAAGATCACTGTAGCAGATATAGAGTTTTATAGCACTAACACAGCAGCAGCCAGATTATTTTGCTGGAAGTTTTTTTGTTTGTTTTATGTTTAATTTCTCTTTCAGCATTAGAATACATTATCAAAAGATGAAGAAAAATTGCACCAGTTTCAGAATATTCCTCATCTTACAGGAGGGGCACGAACCTAAGGGGAGAAGGAAGAACTGGGCTCAGGTTGAATTTGTTTTATTGAAGGGAGTATGCTCAGATGTACCCTTTCCCACCTGGACATGCAGCAGAGGCACACACATGTTGCTGTAACCTGCCTTCCCTGCATTGTCCCCAGACAGTCCTCCATAGCATGGCCTTCTCAACTCGCATGTACGTGGCTGTGAGGTTTGGTGCTATGCAGCTTGGTGGGCAAGGGTCATGTCCTGAAAGTGGCTCATGGGTCCACATAAGCTTGCCTGTTTTTACTAGTACATGGGAAATGCATTTGTGTTAACTGCTGAAGCTGCCTGGGAAGGGAAAGTGTACAAATGGCATGCCTCAGTAGTAATTACCAGCATCCTGTGGGATGGAAGGAACAGAGTGTTAAGGGATTGAAACAGTAATAATACACAGAGATGATAATGATTCCATTACACTGCAAATGTATCCATATAATAACTGCTGTTGTAGGAGGAGAAATGGGGATTTAAAGAAGGAAAATAGCTACAGCTTTTTATTTAGGAATAAATCATAATTTCTCAGCATGCCCAAAGTATTTTATAACCCATTCAATTAAAAACACAGTAAAAAAGAGCAGCTTTCTTCCCCAACTGTCTTATTTGGTACGTTGGATGCAGCAATGTTTCCAGGCTGAGGCTGCCTGGGAGCCTCCAGCGGCGGGAGACTTTGGGAAACACAGTCCTGCACCTGGTGTGAATGTATTGGGAAGGTTTCGCTTTTTTCCCAATTACTTTGCTGTATTCCCTCATCCTCCTTTTGGGGCAGAGGTATGAAGAAATCTATAAACTTTACAGATTCATAGGTTTTAAGGCTTAAAGGAACCACTGTGTCTCATGATCTTGCATTAACACTCCAAAAGCTAAGTTGGAATTAATTCCTGCTTAAACTAGATCATAATATAGGAATTATAGGAAACGAACAAAACTAAACAAATTAAGAACCCTGAAAAACCACTAAGCATGGCCAGGGCTATTTTAGCCATTTCCTATGATGAAAACCTGGTATATATTTGGTAAATTATTCCATGAGCTTTTGTCTCCCACTGCTAAAGAATGCTGCCTTCTCTGCCTCTCTGTATTTCTGGCTGCCTTCAATTTGACATTTTTATCCTTGCTAGCATCCCTGTGTACTTGATGAAGAACCCTTGATTATCCTGTATCGGCTTCCCAGGGGGCCACTCACAAACTGCTCAGGTACAGGTGTAAACAAAATACTTGATACCTGTCTGAACCAGCTTCAGAAGGACCGTGTAGGTCTTGTGCTGTTATACACCAGCACAATTTTGACTCCTGCATGGTGCTAGAGCCACCACTTCATCTGTCTGCTGGCTGGAAAAACAATGCCAGACCATGGCATGGAAGCATAAGCACCTAAAATTTGGCTCTCTTACTGCCTGCCTCATACTATTCTTCTTCTGTGAGAGTGAATATCAAGGAGCAGAATAAGCCTGGAAATGTGATGCTCTTTTTCTTTCTCCACATTTTATCTGCAGATGGATGTTAAAGTGCTTCTCACATATCTCTATCAGTTTGTCAGTCCCTCTTTTTGTAAATGAAGAGGGAAAAATCATATGCATCCACCGAAAGTCTTATGGAATAAAGTTTCTTCGTTACTATTCAGCAGGAATTCTCACTTTCTGAGGGGCTATTTCCCTGTATGCCTTTGTGAGCCTGTTTGTAGCTGGAGACATTCTCCAGCTGGCTATGTGCAATTTTGGAATCTTTTCTATACTATAAATGGGGTATTTTTATGCCTCACTTAAAAGCACTGAGGAAATAGTTTCCAGAGTGAGAAGCATGCAAAATATTTGTTACTTGTAATCCAAGCTTTTAGCTCATCCAGTAACACTAGAAAGCATGCTATGGAAGAGAGAGCAAAAGAACAGTCTGGCTTTCACTACCTTCCTTTGGGTAAGGGAATGGCAACAGAAGGAGGGTGAGTATGAAGGCCAAGGATCAAGGAGATAGCAGCCTTTGCCCTCAGCGGCCTGGCAGCCATCCCTGCTCACCAGTGCTGCTCAGCAACAACAAGCTGGTGCAGTGCATTTCCGAGACTGGCAGAGGAGAGGAATGCTTTTGGCAAAACTTCCATGGAAGGAGTGCAAAGGTTACCGTTCAGTTCATGGGCAGAAAGGCACTGCAGTGATGGGGGCTTGTTTATACGTGGTGTCTGCTGAGTTGCACTTTGCTGACAGTCAGTAATGGTCTTTGTTGTTACCTGTAATGATGTTCCTTCACTTCTGGATACATTTTTAGCCCAATTTCCCTCAGCCATTCAAGCATTTGGAGAGCCACGGGTTACTTCAGCATATTGTTTACTGACACTTCATGTCTTCAACAGCACAAATAATTTAATGAACTGTGACTTGAAATCAACATGCCTAGCAATTCTTCCTTCCTTTGCTGTTCCTGCAAGAACTCAAATCCTAGCTAAAGATACACATTACTGAGACCCATTATATAATTTCAGGGCATTTATTATTTATTTATTTACTTACTTTGCAAAGCAATTTCACCATGATCTGTTTCTGTGTGTCTGGGGTAATCCATTTTGTGTTAGCACAGCAAGAACTTAGACTGGCTGTGCAAAACACAGCAGCAAAACTATCAATTTTTCTGATGTTTTGTGTTATTAATGTGGAATACCAACTTTCTTAAAAATCAGATTCATATTTAGAGAGCTATAATGTCAGTTTCAGCAGGAAATATGATGTTTAATGTGTTTGTCATAAAGCACCCCAGATAGCCTGTACACCTGAAATACTGACAGACCCACTTTCCTCTATATTTAAGACCGCGTTTTATTTTAGCTTATCCAACTATTTTTTTCATTCTTGCATAGAAAAATAAGTATCACCTTCCCTTGTACATGCATCTTTTAGCATGGGTCCCTGCAAAGAACTGTGAGACAGCTGATGTTTACGACTGCATTCATTGCTATTCAGCAAAGTAGTATGTCTGAGCCAAAGCCCTTTGGTGTCAGTGGAAGGACTCCTACTGACTTCAGTGGGCTTTGAATCAGATCCTTGAGCAAATGTTTAACTTAAAATGGTGCACTTACATCTTATTTAGTTGAGTAGGCTAAATATTTTTAGAAGTGCTTTACGTCATCATGTCAATGTGTTCTTTTTCTCTGAGTGGGACAGTGAGATGAATTTCCCTGAAGATGGATATTCTTTGCTGACATTGCTGAGAATCAGAAGTGAAAAAAAGTATCATCTGAGATCTCTATATGTAACATTCCCTGCATGTTTCTAACTGGAAATATCCCATCATGCAAACACAAGTGAACACAAATGTTTTTAGTCATTTTATGTATTACTGTGTTATTGAAATTGTCAGGTCTTTTTGCTTTACTGAATGCATGTGCTTTAGTAATGGTGCTCACTTTGCATAATTCAGTTTATGTATGAGTATTCTGAATATCCAGTCTTGCAAGTCTGATGGGTTGGTGTGAGAGGTTTCTTCCCTTTAGTTACTAGTAGTAAAGGAAACATAATTAAATGTCTCCATATAATGATTTTTACGGCAGTACAGTTAAATC